TGGAACTACAAATAATAGGCTAAGAGAATCATTTGGAAAAGGGTGCTTTACTGGATATACAAAAGAAACTGGCTGAAGTTTTAAAAATTAAAAGGGAAATACGAATGATAAACCAGGAGAATGACCTGGAAGATTTTTTGCTATTGGATCTACAAAAAAGGCTTGTTAAGGCCTTGAAGAAATCTGTGTGATAGAATAAAGAAGAATTGAAAAGAAATCAAATCCTATAACAATATTTGATTAAGACTGTTAGAAGCAAAAGGAAGAAATATGAATGGCGGGTGTGAGTCTTCCGGGCTGTGTGGCCCTGTTCTGGAAGTTTTGTTTCCTAACGTTTCGCCAGCATCTGTGACCGGCATCTTCAAAGGGCAGGAGTACAGACAGGAGCAGTTCTCACTGTGCCCATGATGATGTGACCCTGTTGTGGGTATTTATAGAGATAAGCAAGGGTGCCTGAAGGGTGTGTGTGTGTGTGTGTGTGTGTGGGGAGGGGTGTTGGGTTAACAATTGGCTGCTTGTTTTGTGTCAGATTATGTGTGTATCTTCCTGGGAGTTAGGCAGCATCACAGACGCTGGCGAAATGTTAGGAAACAAAACTTCCAGAACACGGCCACACAGCTCGGAAGACCCACACCAGCCATTGTATTCTGGCCGTGAAAGCCTTTGACAATACATTGAAGAAATATAAAGTTGGTTTATTTGATCAAGGTTAAAATAAGACTTTTTTGCAACGTTCCTACAACACTTTATGGATTTTTTGTGGATACCAGGACTGAAAAGTTGATGTTTTATGGATTTGCTTATAGATAAGGGATGGGATATGGGATGAAGAGAGATCTGTTTAGCCTTATAGGGGTTGAAGAGTTATTAAATATGTTTATACTTGTCCTGATGAAGGTTGGAAGTCACTAACTTATATATTTCTTTTTTATTATATTCTTTCTTTTCCTCTTTGTTTCTTTTTCTTTTTTCCTGCACTTTTTATTCTTTCTTTCTGTTCTTTTCTCTTCCTCTAAGTTTAGTTTGTATTAGTTTTTGCTACTGTAGTTAAAATTCTTAATAAAAATTATTTCCAAAAAAAAGGTTATGCCAATAAGTTGGCAGAGTGGCAATATTTGTTTTGGCTGCAATCATATATCAGGAAAATGGTAAAATAAATTAATGTAGTTAAAATGCTCTTGTAATAATATAGGGGCATGCATTTTGACTGGTTAAACTTAAATAGAAGCAGATTTACATTGATATTAGAGGAGCACAACAAATAGTCTTAAAGGCAAGTAATAGGTGATCTTTTTCAGCTGGGGGACAAATTTGGAACTCAGAGTAAGTTCACAGAACAGGAAATAAAAATTCTGTTTGATGCTGGAGTTTGGTTTGCAGCATGCTGACTTCCCATTTAATATTTTAAATTGCAAAACAATATTTAAAAAATAAGTTTTGGAGGGGAGCCTGCTGGGTACCCCTGACTTATGAAATGAATAGACACCTAAGAATGTATCATGCATTCAAACATTTGCAAACAACAGAATTTGGACAAGGTCAAACAAAGATGTAATGAGGAGGGAAATAAAGAAAGCAAGGGGACTTAAACTGGAAAAGAGTTGGAAAATTTGGCAAATAAATTAGATCAGACATGGACAGGATGGGAAGCAAAGATGAGCAAGGTTCAAGTTCATATGCAGATTTGATATTGCCATCCTATATTATGCTGAAAGCTCCTTATCTTTGTTTATCACAGAATTCAGTTTTCTAAAATGAGAAATGGCATATTTTTACCTTTGCTTAGCTGAACTGGCACACTTTCAGATTTCATCATTCTCTGCTGCTGAGATGGAGGGAGTTCTACAGTGCTCCTTGTGGGCATGACAACAGAAGAAACGCTGCCACTGCTACCTGCAACCGGGAGAGCAGCACTGCCTGAAGTCATTGCTGGGGAAATCAGCTTGCGGCCAAAATTCAATAAGCTACTGGAAACTTTATTTATGTTCAGAGGAGCAACTTTTGTACTGCCACTGAAAAAAAAAAAGAAAAAAGAAAAAAAATATGTTGCTGCTATTCATGTTTACTTGACACTACAAAACTAACTAGAATATTTCAAAATGAATTTGTTGTATTTAATAGACACCCCGCCCCAAGAAAATATTACAGTAAATATAGAGAAGATAATAATGTAGCATTGTTCTACCTGAAACACTGGTTATTTCCAGGGAGGTAGATTTTTCATTTTCTGGAACCCTTGAAAGCCACAGTGAACTTTCTTCCACAGGAGCAGTTTTATTTACAGGAAAAAATAAACTTGTCTCTCTCAGGAATATCTTGTAAGCAAGATCTTGTAAGTAAGATCCCTGAAACTGGTGACCCCAGTGTTAAGAGCAGATGGCAGGTTTTGCCTTCTTCTCTATAACCAAAAAGCAGCAAAACTAAGAGTGAACACATTAGGTGACATTAGGGCTTTCATCATCTCTTGTTGTTGGCCATTAACATTCGACAGTATCTGGAAAGCCTCGTATTGCCCATCTCTGGTTTAAGCTGTAAAACAATCTCTCAGGTATTCTCCTAATAAGGAAGGATGTTAGGGGAAGGTATTCATGTTGCTTTATAAGCTGACTGTACATCACTACAATTAGAGGTAATTTGTTCATAATGACCCCGTTTCTCCTGAACAATAATTTTGGTGGTTCATTAACTTTTTTGTGTACATACTCTTAACTTGTAATGCCCTTGACATAAATAGCAACCTTCCTAAATTGCTGTTATAAATTAACAAGGCCCATGATATAGATACTTTAACAAATGAAGTTCTGTCTTTATGCTAGTTTTGAACGCTCTGATACATAAATGCAAGATGATTATGGCTATCAAGCAGGATCAAAATCTATTTCTTTACCATCATGGTGAAAAGATGAAAAGATATCAGAAAAAGGTACAATACTGGTTAAGAAATGGAAGTTGATTATCTTATGGTCATTAAGAAATATATTTAAAAGCAAGGTATTGTTTAAAAACATGAATGTCAAGGATATAGGAATGCAGTACCTGGAGAAAACAATTTTGTTAATCATAATAAGAATAATTGACCTTGGATATCAATGGGATATTTTTAAAACAAGCTGTGCAATGATTCAGCCTCTGCAGTGTGTGCAAATTAAATGTTTTGTTTTATAAAGTTGATTCAAGGACATCTCTTTTTGCATGCAACTACTGAAAAAGGCAAATTGCTATAAATACTGTGCATTTACTTTTTTTTTAATCTGCACAAATTCTTGCAGACTCATAGTAATGTAAATGTGATCCACATGAATAAAATATGTAACACTTAGTTGGTTTCTCTTTTATTTTTTACCCTCAATAATATGATTTTCTATTGAGTGGTATGCTCCAATTTTAGATGAGAAAGACCTATTTCAACAATAACTGAATACGGTTGCGATAATGTTGACTAATATTACAAAGTTTAAGCAAAGCAAGTCAAGTCAAGTTCATCTTTATTACCGCCAAAGGCCAACCTTATTAACTGTTAACAAATAAAATAAAATTTGTTACCTTTTAAAACCTATTAAGAATTAAGATACACTTCATTAACATGCATGAAATTATGGCAGCTTAAGTTGCTGTTATTTCCTCTCTGATGTTACAAGATAATACACAAAATTATATCAGCTTACCATGGCTTTATCCTTATCTAATAAAAGTGCAAAAGAATAAACAGACCTGAATGACATTGAAAATTCAACAAAATTGGAATAATATGATTAAACTATATATCTATAAAAATTATGAAATAAAAGCACATGGAAAACATTTTCAATTGCTCCTGATCCACAAGGGCAAAGGTACTCTTTATGTGAAATTTAAGTATATCTGCCCTGTAGACCTATTGATGGCAATTACAAAATTTTGCTTTCAAAATTTTGCTTTCCCTCTAGTTCAATGAGCCAGACTTTGATTCCTCTAGATAAGAAAGCAGTAACTTGCTGAAGATTTATATCCTCAAATCTTTGCCTCATAAACGTTGTGGTCATTCATAGGCCGAGGAAAGACGCAATCTAATAATGTGTGAAGTACTAGAACAACTGGGGGAAAAATCACCTTTATCCATATGACATCCAGTCTTAAAATTGTAGTGGCTAAGTATTTTCTTATAGACGAAATTCTGAGTATTAATACTAACATGCAATAACCCACATAGCTTGAGTCTCAAATAACTGAAAAAAAGTTTTCCATATTACTTTGAATGACCTTTAAAATTTGCCGTGGCAAACAGTTATAAAACTAAGAAATGAAGTGGCCTTCTTGGTACTTGAACTTTAGCTGTAGAACAGCCACTATCAGGTCTACCTGATTCTGGTTTAGAGGCAACATATGTATGATTGTAGACAGGGTCTTTCTTGTATTAACTCAGTTTTCTAAGACTTAATAATTTAATGTCATCACTGAATGATTAGCTACTTTTTTATTGTTATTGACATCTAATATACATAAAACATGTTTACAAATATGTATAGGAATTATTGACAAAGCACCTATGTAGGATAATATACAAAGCATGATTACCGAGTTTTATTCATTAAGTCAGCTCCACGTGCTTTGTAGTAATCCAAATTCTGTTGGAACTGGTGAGTTACAGGTCTGGGATTTCTCTAGAGAAAGAAAATTGTCAAAGTGTATCATTAAAACATTTTAAAATGAACAATGCATTTCCATCCAATAAAATTTAAGTTAAAAATACTTGCTGATTATTTTAATGTATACATTAAAAATCAGAAATAGAATTATTCAATCTCAACTTACATTTTATCTATCTTAACAAAATTTAACAAACCAAGCATAACCACTAGATGGTGCATTTAACCTTTTCTCCAGCTATCAAAACATTGATGACGAAACGTTAGGCATAAGTAAAAGTGCTACATATTTTACACAATATATATAGTTGTCTCATTTTTTTTCTTCAAAAAAAGCAATCAAATCATTTATAACGTTATATTAAACATTAGTTTACTATAACAGGACTTGAATAATGGTTACTTAAAATGCTAGTACATACATATACAATATGATGGTATCTGTATGAAACGTGTGCAATTAGTTCAATCCACCATTTTATTTGGGGAGGTTTTGGGGGGAGGGTAATAATACTTTAAGATCTATCTTGAAGATTACCATTATTGTAAATGTACCCACGATTGTTAACATTTAATCTACTTCTAAAAATAAACAGTTTCCATTAACAGATAACACAGAAATTTCAAAGGTCCCAATGACAAATTTTTAGGATAAAATGATGCAGAAGTATCTTCCGAAGCCTGCGTAACATTAAGGAATCAGTTGGAGGTTGGAAAAAGAATTGCTATTTTTACAACTGGTTCTTGCTGAGTGATGTCTAGGTCACAGCAACTTTGGAGGGACATATTGAGACCACTTTCAGGATCCCCTTTGATCATGGCCTAGATGCACCTTGATCTATCTTCTTTTCAATTGCTGACATAGGGATTGTGGTATTTCTATACAGGGCATTTCCCCCCTTTCAGTTAGACAAAATCCCTCACACAATGCTGGCTGAGCACTTTGATTTATTTTCATTTTCTAATACTAGGCTCTGACAGCAAAAAGGTAAGAGCTGCAGAGGTTAAAAGGGGACCAAAGGGGACCAAAGGGAACATCAGAGCTCTGATTTCCTACTCTGAAGTTTAACTTCATTCTCTGCTACCAAGGACAAGATTGTGACTTGCAAATTAAGTTAAAAAAGAACAAGCAATAGTACATGTAATGGGTGATATTAATCCACTGAAGTCATATTTGGAAAAATAATTGAGACAAATTAAATATTTTTACCCACTAAGTTATTTTATACATAGCAATATACTTAATAGAACTCTATTAATAATCTTTAGATATAAAGATGTCTCAAATGATTAAAATATTGTAGACATTTTGAAACAAGCATTTGTTATGGTAATAGAATATTATCCCTATATTATTAAGATTAAAAAAAATAACAATACTCCTAAACTTTCATATGTTTCTATATGAGGGCAATTTTTTCATTCATGTAGCTAGAATTCTATGTCTACTGTAGACTAGATGTAATAAAAAGTCCTCTGTTGCAGCTTTAATAATTATAAATGAATAACAACACAGTATTGTTTAAATTGGTTTAAAACCCAACTCACAATATTGTTTGAAACAAACTAACAAAAGAGAGTTGTATACATTTTGGGAAAATAGTTAATAAGATGTGGGGCTCCTCTTGCTAGTTTCTAACACTGTCCCTAGCAATACTGTGCTAAAAGTTGAGTGTCAGTGAAGTGTAGTGGTTACAGTCCACCCTGAGTCAGGGAAGCTCACTGGCAGATTTTAGGCCAGTTGCTGTTGTACTTCACAAGCTGCAGATAAATGATTGAGCCAGTTCAATTATTTGTTCTTCTGGAAATGGAGTTCCTTCTTACTGTTTTAACTGAGAAAAACCCTGCTTATTATTAATCCTTCTGAGAAATTAATCCACCACAGGAAATTTAAAATTTCAATTTAAGTTTATTATATAAGTCAGCCTTTGCAAATTTGGCACCATACAGATGTGTTGGACCACAAATCCTGTAATGTGAACCAGCACAACCAACTGCGAGGCTGAGTATTCTAAGACAATTTCAATCCAATTTTGTCCTTGTTGTCTATGCAAATCTTAGGCTGATGTAAAGAGAAGGCATGACAGTTACAAGCCCGAGAGCTTTTACAGGCATCTTGTAAATCATGAGGCAGAGATTAGCTATTTAGTGAGAAAGCAAGAAAGCTTTAAGGAGCTCAGGAAAAGTTGCTTGCCTTGTAATTATGCCTAGTGCTGCAAGCTGCTAGCTAGGAAGTTTTGGAGACAGCAGCACTGAGAATAGTTCAAGACTATCTGCAGCATGGTTCTTCCATGAAAGCCAATTCCAAATGGCAATGTGACTGAGGGTCCGGTAATAACTGCAGAGCATTAATTCACTGACTTTTCCTTTACCAAAAGTAAAGGAGCTACGGCTGGCAACACTAAAGGATGGATGAACCCCCTCTTTAAATTTTTTGAGATGGTCCCTCAAGGTGATCATTTCAGGTTCCAGAAGGGAACAGATCCAACCCAGTGGGATCCTGACCATAGGGCAGTCATAGTCAGTGGAATGGTAGCTGAGCAGTCTCTGTAATGGTAAGTGGGAATGACCGTGTGAGACAGGAAAAGAGACACAGTCAAGGGGACAGTCAGATAAAAGGTAACTTAGCTTGCAGCAGGAATGTGGGCAGGACAAGCAGCTCAGAAGGGATCTAGTTTCCCTAGTTTCTTGGGCTGTAAAGAGGATGTGATGGTGGTGGTGGGGGGGGGAGAAATGTACTTTCAGACTAGCAAGATTCTATTAATGTAACCTTACAATAAAGTAAAATTAGCTCATCTGCCCGTACTTCCTGTCTGGTCTACCTCACAAGGCTGACATCTATCTTGCAAATCCTTTCTGAGCTGCTTGCCCCTCCCACATTCCTGCTGCAGGCTAAGTTGCCTTTTATCTGACCGTTCCCTTGGCTGTGCCTCTTCTTCCTGTCTCCCAAGATCATTCCCACATACTATTACAGTCTCTTGCTTGCTAAACACTTAGCTGAAATCAGCTTATTTTGGGGTAAGCCTTGTACAACCTCCCCCTTCTTCCTCCGCTACCAGTATTTTCAGTAGAAATTGAAATGTGCCCTTTACAAGGGAAACTGAAACTTATCATTCAATCAAATAATTTGAAGCTCATGGGTTCAAAGCCACACAAGGTCCAACACTAGGTAGAAGATGGGAGCAGAGACAAGAAAGAAATCCAAGTGTGATGCCATGTCCAAAACCAAAAGGTCTGAGGCCCAGACCACCAGACTGGACAATGGTGGTTTCCCATTAATAGTTTATACAATCACAGGAGTTTGCTGAGTGTTGAAGAATGTCTTGTTCCTCTACAAAATTTAAGCCCATGATGTTCTTCCAAAATTGATCATGGCCATGGTATATATTCCCAGCCAATCTGGGATTTACAGCATCAAAGGCACTACTACTGGGCACTAGGTCTAGAGCTTGAGTTGTCATCCCTTCCCCAGTGGAGGAATCCATCTATACTGGGTGGGGCCCATTTCCTGAGATAGTGGGGCATGGCTCCTTGGCTGGACATGTGGAAGCAAAATGCCTCTAGCCCCTACAGAACAAGCAGAAGCCTACCTGCCTGCCAGAGGCTTTTTCCTCAGGATGGGACAAGGTCTGGCTCTGCCAATATTCATAGAAAGTTTGGAAAGAGGTGGAAAACATCAGAACATCACAAAGGTGGAATCTTTAACCTGGGTGATTCCTAGGGAAAACTTGATGGGACAATGTTCATGGTCCATCAATATATAAACAAAGATGGAACAAAGCTTGCAGCATATATGGGAGCTTTTGTTCCGAACCATTCATCCAGGATTTTGTCTTGCTATACCTTTCTGGAACTGGTCCATTAAATGGGCCTGAAATCTATTCCATGGGCCCTAAATGGATTTAAAAACAACTAAAGAGATGTAGACTTCCAAATCTTCTTTATGATAATATCATACACCATACTGTTTCACTTCAAGTTTACTTCAGCTACAGTCATATCACTGCTCAGAGATTTATTAAAGTTTGTTTTGGAATAAATACTTCAGACAAGCACTATGAGCATTCTGATCAAAGGTAGCTTAAAATTCTTTGCATATCTTCTGAAATGGAAATACTTTGTATTACTGTTGAGTTTTATATTAAGCCACAGTGATAAGGTTAGAACAATCATAGCCACATACAAAGATGAAATGATTCTGCTTCTGTTGCTGTGTTAGAATTTTATTTGCTATGGGGTAAAACAGATTTGCAAAATTCACAGTTAACTTAAAACAACCTTTTATTCATAGGCTTGACTGCCTTCAGGAAGAAAAGAACATCTGGTTATTTAAGGAACACAATATGTTCATTTTCTATTACTTTTGTTTCTAATTGATTTTTTAAAATTTTTCTTTATTTGAACAACTCAAGTTAGAACTGTTTTTAATCGCTTTATATTTTTGTAATTGCCATGTCTACGTATTTATTTTCCATGTTAAAGCATATGATATACCAAAAAACCTGGAAAAAACCACTCCACTTATTCATTTCTCACAAGGTACAATAATCATTCAAATCCTGTCAATTTTGTATCAATATAATTTTGAGAAACCTACTTTTATTCTGAAGAAGTGCAGCTCTACGGAATGCAGTATGTATATTCTGAATACATGTATTAAGTAAAAGAAAACTGGGAGTTTACCCTCCATAGCAAAATACACCCTCCATGTATTAAACTCATTGAGTGGATCAAAATTTCGGAAACTTTGGAGCAGTCCTAATAAAATTGCTGGGATTTAAATTAAACAGTAAATTAGGGCACATGGATTTCAAAGCATCTATTCCAAGTGCAATTAAATTTAAATCCAGCTTGTACAGGCTATCTTTGTTTTAAGAAACATTGATTTTGTTCTTCTAGTAGTTTGGTTTTGTAAGCAACAGTGCTTTGCAAATGTAGCAGCTCTGAAATGATGGACTTGTCATCTTGCATTTAGTAAAATGATAGTCAAGAGCAAATAAATTTTGGTCAAATCAGTCAAAATACATGCAAATATCTTTAGACTTATTGGCTGATTTGGCATCAGCAGACATTAATGGAAGTATACAATAGAGAGTTTAAAAAGGCCATTTGGACCCTGCTCAGTGCAGGAATTCAAAATTAAAGAATCCCAGACAGATAGATTGATAGTTGTCTAGCCTCTACTTGAACACATCCAATGAAGGATCTTATCATCTCTCTGCATAATTGTTGCCATTGTTAAAATGCACTCACTTCCCTCCACTCCAATATTCAATTAGAATCTGCCTTCCTGGAATTTAAATTTATTATTCTGTGTCCTGTACTCCAGGACAAGAGATGTCTTAACCTTATTCCATATGATTTCTTTTTAGGTGTTTGAAGAATACTATTGTATTCTTTTGCATATGCAGAAGTCTTTTCTCAAGATTTTAATCCCCTGATCATTCTTGCTGCCCTTCTTTGAACTAAATGTCATACACAGCTGTTGAGCATATTTAAAGACATTCTTGCAGAAAGCATTAGCTATCAATAGTAAGACTTCAGTTTCTAAAGATAGTTCTCTAGAAATATGATGACAATTATAAATTACTTTTAAAAAGTTAAGGATATTTGGTGCCCAAACTGTATTTCATTTCATATATCTGGATACAAACAATTATATTTTAAGTCATCTTATTGCAAACCTTAACATGTCTTTACGATGAATACATTTTTATGGCTCCAGTTAGAAAAAAACCCTGTTATTTGTCAAACAGACATGTATCATTCATAAAAAAAACCCTGTTATTTATCGAACACACAGGTATAACATTTTAAATATTATGTGTTTGGTTCAGATTATATCATACTTAAAACAGACTCAATGAAATGAATGACTTCCCAGTAATTTCAGTCAGTCAGTTCTAAGCATATATGAATCTGAAATCAATCCTTAGGATTCCAACCAACAATGGATTATATGACTGAAAAGTGAAATGGTTTATACAGGCACCAGATTTCTACCAAATGGCCCATATAATGCAGTCCCTTCTGACAGATTCTGAATTATTTTGTAGGACCATCCAAACTTTGAGATGTAAGGTCTTTTGATGGAACTTTTTGAATTGGGATGCTTTGTTCCAAACTCAACCCTCCCCTCCCCTGCCCCAGTTTCACTTGTTTAATACCATTTTGGATGTTCCAATTTAGCATAACTTACCTTTGGATCTCTGAGAAAAAGAGCTTTCAAGATTAATGAATGAACATCTCCAATAGGTGGATAATGCATCAGAAGGCCCAAGCAAGTCTGATAATTACTTGATATCACTAAAAGAACAGGAAATACTGCAATGAAATGGCTGATAGTTGCTTCATTATAAAGGAAGTAAAGAGGTAAGCGGACATTTCCTTATAAGGAAGGCAGAGGTGGAAAAAAAAGAAAACTCAGAAGAGAGAGATGCCAGGGCTAGGGGAAAACTAATAGGTAGAGAAAGGAAAAGGTGATAACTAGCATATTTATAATTACATTTGTTAGACATTGTGAAAAAATAAAATACTTCTCCTGTAAATAAGCATATTTGTAAATTCTGTATTTCTAAATAGAAACCACTTATATCCATATTATCTATTAATATACTTGTACAGTTAAATAAAGTATTTGGTCCATCAAATAAAAGGAAAGGCAGACTACATACATCATCCTCATGGTTATCAGAAGGAAGAGGAAGGGGAGGAGAATAATTGATAAGGGAAAGGATTATATCAGTATCAGAACTCTATCATTTTGCAGTAGTGGTGGTGAGATTTTAGAACTGTACTTATTCAGGCACAAAATAAATTTAAAAGTTATGATAATTCTGTTCAAATAAACCCAGTACCATCAAAATACAATTTACCCTTTTCCAATTATGAACAGTTTAACACAGAACAAGTAATTTTAATTAAACACATCCCCTGTGTTTAATGTGTTCTAGATGTGTCCTAAACACATCCAATGCTATCAACAAAACTAGGACTGAGCATGACTAATCTCTTGATTTCAATGTATTCTAAACTGGGATCAACTTAATATTATCATCAAATGCTGTAGAACTACTTTCTTTCAATACATTTAATTCCCAAACAATTGAAAATAAACCTGATTTCTTTCTATTAATAAAGAATATAGAGTTTCGTCCTGATCCCTCTTAAAATTAAGCTCTGTTAGATTTCTAATTCTAGGAGATAAGCTAAGTTACCATATGACTATCTTTATCTAACAGGGTAGAGAAAGTGAACTTAATTATAAGTGAAATTAAATACATATTTTCAGGTAGCTACATACTTACTTATTTACTATGTAAGCTACTTCTTTAATACAGCCTAAATCTTGACACTACATCTGCTGGAACTGTCTAAGCAGTTCCTGATAATTACTCTTAAATTATTTGCCCTACAGATCATCCCTATGTGGTATTGTTTTGTAAACATATTTTAGAACAACTTTAACTGTTTTTAAAAAATTCAGTTATATAAACAATATTCTTTTCATTAATTAAAAATTTTGGAGAGAAATCTTGGAGAACAAGGAAAAATCACTGCAACTGAATGAAAATCACACAAACATATTGGCTGTTTCACAGAATTGGACATTTAGGGAAATGATTCTGTTTCCCTCTCCTTTCATGTGAATCATCCTTTGGTGCCTTCCCATCTTTCCCTGAAGAAGTTTATGAGGAAAAGATGCAGGACAGGGCAAAATGAATAATTATAATTGGTAGTGGGAGGCACTTTATCATCTTCATTTCTGCTGCTGATCTGACAGCTTGTAATTTTATACATCTGCTTTCATTTGTAAAGCTTTCACTTCTCCTACTCGTTCTTTATCTGTTCTGTTTCTTTTTTCTTTTGTTTTTCTTGTTCATGTTTGGATACCTGCTTTTTTCTTCCTTTCTACTTGAAGTTAGTATAATGAATGGAATACAATGGGCTCAGTCAAGAGATCTTTCTGCTGAATATAATAAATGGACTATGCATTATATAGAACCAATCAAATGAAATGCAGCACACTATAAAGGCAGTTATGATAAGAAATCCTTCAACATTGTTTTATAAACAATGTTGAAAGTAGTTAGCATGTCCTTAATGGGTTTTGTGAAGTGGCGTTTGATTTATTTTCTTCAAACACTCCTTTTTAACACTAACTGAAACCAGATTTTATACTTTCTCAATTGTTTGTCTCTTGGAAATAAGACTAGGAGTGCTATGATTTTTAAAGATAATTTTGGTAAATGGATTGAATTCGATAATGATCAGAATATTGACAGTAAATTAGTTACAGGTGCTATAAAGCAATCAAGAAATCCTTGTATATAAATAATTATGAACAGTGGTGGGGGACTAAAAAAACTTTTTTTTTTTTTTTGGTTTTCAAATACGGCTACTGGAGAAGTGTTAGGGTTAATTAATGTCCATATCACTTAAAATGAAACGTTAAAGTCCATTAAGGACTGATGCAGGGATAAATCTCATAAAAAAATGAATAAATCCCATTGTGTTCATTTACGCTTTAGTAATTTAGTAAATGTGTTTAGATTTGCAGTCTTAATACTGAAATGCATTCAAAATCAACATAGATGAACATCATAACCTAATGAATATAACAATAAAAATTTAAACACTGATTTGAATAAGTTTCAAAATGTTACTATATGGTATAGTCCTAATAATCTTATGAGTTGGGGATGATATAGATAAATGTATTTAGTCAGAAGTAATTTCAACTATATTTAGTGGGATTTAACCTCAGATGAGCATGTTTAAAAAAATCCTTGTATCTCAGATCAAAATTCCATAACAAAGAAAGCAAAAGTTCTGCAAAATGTCACACAACTTAGAGGAAAGACACACGAAAACACACAGAATGGCAAAGATAATTACTTATTGCATCTTAAATTCTCAATAAGATAAAAAATCAAGATGTTTATGGAATTTCTATCCAATTTATAAAGTAGATTCTAAATTATAGCACATGAATCGGTATTAAATTTGTTTGCAAGCAGTTGCAAAAATGTTAAACTTCTAGTACAAGCCAAATTTAAAAAGGACAGTCATTATTAGTGATTTTTAAAAGCTTATACAGTAATGCAACACAAGTGCCAACATCCATTCTCACTGTTTTCCACAGAGAAAATTATGTAAGTTTCTTTATGTGGTATTACTTCCTCAATCCTGAAGCCTAATAGCAAGGATTAATACGTCTGATCCTGTTTCTTAATAATTCTTTGCTTGATAGTGCTTACTTGGTCTCTGATGCAACAATATGTTGATTGTCATACTGGGGCAGAAGAATGGAGATTTATACAAGTTGTCTTGTCATATGTGTGGTGCAATACCAAAATGGTGAAAATGAACAGAATTACAGTTGCTTTTCTGTGAACTGAAGCAGGCTAGGTTATTTGTAACTTCTTCTGTGCTTTTGCTTATATGGAGTCTGGCTGAGCTTTTGGGGGGAGAGACAATTTTCCTTTCCAGCAGACACGCTTAAAGCATGTGTTTTAAATCAGGTCTTCCTGCTCAGAACTTCGGCAACTGCAGTAGTGGCGTGGCCTAAGATATTACTTTGTTTCCACCATGCTTGAATCAGCAATATGGGAAATATACTGCAAGTAAGAGCCTAGTATTTCCACAGAGCTGTTAATTAAATTGGTGATGGTGGCGCAGGTAAAGTCCAACTGCCAAAAAAGCTTAGTGAGAGAGAATGAAAATGCCCCTAGTTTTTCCCAATGCAAGCAAGCCATGCACGCAGTTATATTTTTTAAAAAACAAGTAACAGCTTTTTATTTACTTTAGACACCAAATTAATTTGTTTAGTTGGTTTGGTCATTGCAAAGAATGTTTTGGTTTTTTAGGAGGGGGTTGTTATGAAATGTTTACTTCTGTTAGAACTACTGTTTAACGGGAACAACTGCAAATACAAATCAACTTCTCATAACAGAATGAAACACGAGATACAATCTATACTGTGAAGACTAAGTAAGCAGAGAAGAAACTGTTCTTTCATCAGTGCCTGAAAACAAAACAAATAGAAGACTGCCAGATGTTAAGCATTCCTCGGCATTAAAAAATACTGGTAATATTAAACATGCAAAGAGAGTTTCCGCTGAGTTGATTATGGCGTCTAGAAATTTCTCTCCCTAGAGCATACTAACCTGTAGTCTGTCTTTTTTTTTAAATGGTAATTTTTCCTTACAAGTGTAAGATGAAAACATGTATAACTTTATACATTATACTTTGCAGTATTACTATTATTATTATTATATATAATATTGGCAGACTCTAAGATGGCTCACAGAATAAAAAGACTGTAACCACCCTAGGCTGAAACCTGGAGAAGAGCTACTAGCTCATTTTTCAAGCCAGAAGGAGAAAACCTTCATAAATTCAAATTGGTAGATGCTTTGTATGATGTAATATTGGAATAAAAATAAATGATGAATTAAGAGAGTAATTCCATTTATTTTTGAAAGATACAGGAAAACATCCAAAAACATTTTTTTTTAAAAAAAATTATTTTTTTCAAATAACTATTTCAACTGATTTGAACAATAATGCTACTTTTGGGGAAAAGAACATTTCCATCCTGAGTGTACCGTCACCTTTTCAAAATGTTCATAATATCATGACCAAAATTAGTGATAGCAATGGGTAATAAATCAAGGCCAACGTTGCATTCCAAATTGATTATCTAAGATGCTAACAATACCTGGGGTTTAAATTGAAGGAGAAAATGATTTGTTTTCTGAACGAGATTTGGTGAATAACAGATCTGTGGGCCTAACAGGCCTTAAAATAAGTAGAGCTTAGATAAGCCTAGCCATTTTGGCACTGGCACTATTTTCTAAATAAATTCATAAGGGGGAAAATTCAAATGTTCTGTGGTTGGGCAACTGCTATCTTTCTGATATTTTTCTTGTAAAACCAAAGCATTTTCCATATATAGACATATGATGGCACCATAAATCACAAGAGGTATTATGAGTTCTTTCAGGAATACAGATGGACAGGTTTTTTTTTCTCAGAATACCAAGCATTAAGGTCACTCAGTACAAAGAATACAACACCCCTCTGTTAATGTCAGGTATGCCAGTCCATGTTTGTTCAAAATGTTGAATTTTGAGGAAAATGTTTCATAGTCCAAGTAAATATATAATCAGAGATCAGATGATGCTTGCCATGGATAGATAAACAACTAGTTGTGGATTTAATGGATTTGGGTGGTCTCGTGATTTATTTCTATGATTAAACACTATGAGAAACTTCTGTTTTTTTGTTGTATGTAACTTACAGCCTTGGGATGTAAATATAATCATGCTTTGGTAAAACTTTCTTTACTTTTTATCTAGTCTATTTGCATTGCTGAAAGTACGTAGGGGCATTTCATAAAAACATCATTTGCAATGCACACTCCAATTTTAACATTAAAAAGAGTCATACTAAAAGAAGACTTAAAATACTTGCAGATTCTGATGCTCCACATTCAGGAGTCTCACTTATGCTTGTTTACAAGTTAGCCTACATGTCAGTCACACTTTCCTATGTTTTTTCAACTCTAATTTCCTACTTCAGAAGGTTTGAAGAATGCTACTGCAGAATATAGTGTGTGACACCTAGCTGCATGTTGCTTTTCCTCTGTCAATTTAGAGTATAACAGCATTAGGAAACTTGGGGCCTGTGAAATATTGTTAACTCTATTTTCCAGCAATCCCAGCTAGCGTGGAAATTGATAAAGATTCTGGTTTAGGAAAATGTGGAGGGGTGCAAATTCTCCACTTCTGAATTAGAAAGAATGAGAGGCTCATAACAGAGGTGCCTTTTCTGTTGCAGTGCCTGCCCTTTGGAATGATGTCTTCTATGAAATTTGGTTGACCCCAACCCCGTCAGTCTTTAGGAAAGCTCTAAAAACTTGGTTTTACCCTGAACTCTGGGCCAGGATGACAGGTGAGATGTCTGGTGGGGCCCAAATGTATATTGTTGCTATGTTGATTTTGGCTTTGTTCTTCTTAATGTTGTTGGTTTTAAATGTAGTGTTGCTTTCCTCTGTTTATATTAATGTATACCACCTGTGGATGCATAGCTGGCAAGTACTTATTTTATTATAATCTGAGGTAAAAGGCAAATCTTCAATCATGCATTTATGACTAATGAAGACTGATTTTTTCAAACAAGTTAGCTGTGTTTAAAATGCCTTATGTGAATCCTTCAGAATGTATAAAACCAAGCAAATCTATAGACAGATGTTGTATGAGCATTAATTCAACATGCTATAGAAAACAAGCTAACCAAAGAAAAGATCTAACTTGGGCTGGGGATACAGGCAGGCCAACCCAACCCACCCCGTTTTTAGATGACATCAAAATGTACTTTTGGAGCCAACCTCACATTTTCTGAGCATTGAGAATAAAACATTTGAGGCAACAGAGTATTTCAAAAACTCAAATGTGAATAATTGTTTTCATGATTTGGCTCTAAAAAGGTGTACAGGTGTGCGGGAGACTTGGGTGACTCCTTTAGGTCAACTAAAGAACACAATTTTTTTTACAGATGTATCAACTAAAAGGTGTTACATATTTTTACATTTAGAATGTTAGTAGATTCTACTAACTGGGAAGACCCAGTTACTAATAATAATTATTTACTTCATTTATCTTGTTGTGCTTTCAAGGCCTATTCATCAAACAATTGAGATAATTTTGCAGTTACATTACAAATGTCTTTTATTTACTTCTAAGCTGCCCAAGACCCCTATGCTTTATTTGCTTAAGAAAGATGTTTAACTTCAAATTTCATATAACAGATTATGTATTTATCTAAAAATCAGAGTTTCCTCTAAAAATTCTCAAATTATAATAAACATTCTGAATTAATTGGTATACATAAATGACATATTAAATGATTAATAAAAAGAGAAAGGGAGAGAAAGAAAGTATAAAATACTTCAATAATGAAATACTGAGTTTTACTCAGTTTGTAACATCTGACAGAAGGTGGCGATCTATACTTATTTTGGAAAGTACTTAATGTAATTCTACTTATAATTCTGAATATGAAAAGAAGCATAGTAGGAATATGGGCATTAACATGATTTTTACTATTAATGTAATTGCTTTCATATGCTAAGAATTAGATACCATCTATTTCTAGAAAAAAACCACAACTATATTTCAAGCAGAAAAATATTGCATATTGTACAAAAGTAAGCTATATGTATTACTTAAATATGATAAGAATACTCACAGGCATCTCTAATATATAGCAGCATGGCTAAGAAAATGTAGTCAACTAAATCAAGAGTGATGCTGTCAGCAAATAAAGCATCCCAGACAACAAGAAGGTCCTGTAGGAGAAATTCTCGCCCAAATAGAAGCCTTATCCATCGCCTAGAAAGAAATTGCAAGGAACACATCAAAAACTGCACATCACAGATGAGGATTAATAATTAACAGAGAAGTCCAAGACACAATAATTTATTACATACCTAGATGGTACTTAACTGGATTCACATATGATTGCAGTTGGAGATACATTAAGTGATTCAGTTTTGAAATTTCTGTACAAAAGTAGTGCTAAGACTGGATTTGACCCCCCTGTATGTCAACCTATACATGGTTTAGAAAATACAACTTCCATATTAACCTGATTGTATAAGGAAATGTATTAAGGTCTCTAAGAGCACTACTTTTGAAAAGTTGTTAAATTGATAGGTTGTATTAGCAAAACTTCGTACCATCTTAAATTCCTGATGAACTGAGTTAGAAAAATGTGTTACAGAACTGATCAAATGTTTATGGAGTATGCTTTCTGTCTGCTTTAAAAGGTCTTAGATAACTGAACCAAATTCTTTGTTTCAATATGACATTAAACCAGTTAGTAAGTTAGTAAGTAGACACTTAGATTATAAAGTTATAACTACTGCAGGTACAATACAGAGGTTTCAATTTCGTTTTATGTTAATAGATGATGCAATTAAAATTCAGAAATATAATAAAATTCTTCATATAATTTAAGTAACAATACAATACAATACAGTATATCTTCTGCATGCTACAAATTGGAACTTCTAAAACTTGAAGATGTGGAGGAAACACAAGAGGAGCAAGGGGAGAGGAATATACTGTGTCATAATAGGATTAGACTTTTTTCAAAAGTAGAAATCCCCTTTTCTTTATCATTTTATTATGCAGTATTGATAGATAAAAATTTATTGTGCTTATACCTAATACAGTTGGTTTGGCTTCTTTTTGTTTTGTTTTTAATTTCTCTTGGGAATATTAAGCATTGGAACCAAGAGCTATTGTTTTCACAGAGGTAGAAGGTTAAAGGACCTCTGCTTTTGAAACCATAAGGATCTCTGCCTTGCAGACTTGATGGGTGTGTGCCATTCACACAATTGAAAATTGTTGTATTCTAACTGCTATCTGTTCCTTTTCAGCAACATTGCAGTGTCCATAAACCAAGGACCCCTATCATCTCTAAACGGCTTGACTACAGCATGCTTTCCCTTCCTAAAGAACAAAAGGATGTTTTAAAGAATTAAGTTTTGAGTTGGAATGTTTTTATACTAATTAACACACTTTTATTGCTCTTTCCAATATGTAGAGACAATCTAAGTTTCACTTAATGATACCATTGGACAAGAGGAGTCCCTTTCTTTTGAATGGTTGTCTATAATTTAATTATAGTTCTGTCCTGTTAATTCTAGCCTCACATCTGCTACACCTGCAGACTGCAATGCTCAAGACGGTGCACCCTTTTATCATATTTCGTAACACAATAATTCGTATTTACCACACCAACATAGCAATTGTAAATCAACCAAAAATACTGAAGGACTTTTTTTAAAACAGTAAGAGTTACTACTATCTCCTTGCTAAAATGCACAGTCCTGTATTTTACAGATGATTTCTATGTAATTAAACCATAATCTCAAAACAATCCATAATTACTACCCACAGACAGTAGTTTAATAATGACTTGCAAGAGAGAGAATTTAATGTTCTGGAATGACTTTAAAAAACATCAAATTTAAACTTTCAAAAGAAATTATTTTTATTAAGGATTACTGGGAATAATCTCTTCTATGAATACAGTTACAAATCAGGGGTAACTGGATCAATGGTTTGGCATAAATAAAACACCAAAAGTGCTGTTAATAATTTCAAAAATATTATCAAACCATGATTTGAGTACCATTGTAGCATCTGGTGTTTAAATTTTTAGAAGAGAAACAAAATGAAAAATGATAGAAATATATAGTATTATACAAAACAGTTCAAGAAAATGAGATCAAACCACTTAAAATTTGTTCCCGTTGAAAGGGGACTAACACTGATAAAGGACACATATCAACAATCTATTATTGCAAGTCAAGTATAGATTTGTCCTCCCAATATTATATAATAAATCATTTGGCCATTTCCATGTATGAAGCATTAAGAATTTCTGATATACAATAAACTTCATATATTGGAATATTGCCCTAAATAGTATCTGCATTTTTGACAAGCAGGCATAATTGGAAAACAAAATGAATACTCCTCTATATATGTAGATCAAAATGTTGAAATAGTATGACAAACCCAAGCCATATTAATGACTGCTACAACTCCTAACCCTAAACTGCCTCTCCAACAAGACTATATCCCACCCTTGTTAAAAAAATTAGGCTCAAATATTCTTGTAAAATTTCTTACTTCATAGAGCAAATGGAAGAATTCTGGAGTAAATGGCTCTTTAAATAGTGTTTTCCAAAATATCAAGTTAAGTCAAGCCAGCTTTATTATAGTCAACGGCTAACTATGTTAACTGCTTAAAAAAATCAATAAAATCCCTTACTACTAATTAATACACTATTAAAAATCTTAAGATACCCTCCATTAACATGCACTCAACTACTCTGTGTAGTTATCATGTTTCTCAAAGGTTGCAAGCTATTATACTTTTTTTTTCGTACACTGTAGGTACTGTATTCATCCTTATCTGACAAAAGTACAAAAAATAAAAGAGATTCAAACACCTTGGAAATTTTGACAGAATTGGAATAATGTACTTATACAGGTAGTCCCCGGGTTAAAAACGCCCGGTTTATGGATGACCTATTGTTCAGAACGGAGCCTACTGCAGCAAAATTTGAGTTAAATACACAATGGTTCGAGTTAAATACACAATACTACTTATACAGTATTATACAATAATATTGTTCCGGCTTACATACAAATTCGACTTAAGGACAGACCTTGGGAATGGAACTTGTTCTTAAACTGGGGACTACCTGTACTGCTGTTTCTGTTAAAAATTACAATATAAAAGCATATGAATAACATATTCCCCCATTGCACGTTTTTTCTCATTACTTTCTCTATAAAATATACCTCAATCAACCTATCTAACGGAAAGGAAAGGAAAGGAAAGGAAAGGAAAGGAAAGGAAAGGAAAGGAAAGGAAAGGAAAGGAAAGGAAAGGAAAGGGCCCTCATATTCAAAATGGCATCTGGAAAATTATTTCCGCCTTCGTTTGGTTTTCTTCCATTATCCTCCTTTAGAAGACTTAAAAATAATAGGTTGGTTACTCTTACTGTTGCTGTTAAGAGAAGCAGGGTAAATACAATGAAACAGGGTAAGAATAATTTGCTGCTTTATCACCTATTGTTAGTGTTCTGGAATCTCTCTTGGTTTCACCATTGCTATTCAAGAATGCTGCAAGATGTGTTGAAGGAAGAATGCATCAATTCAGACAGGTATACACATGTATTTATAATTTTAATAGAGAATATAACATGACAATGGCAGAGATGCTGCCTTAGATCTAATATATACCAATATGAATTTTGCATAAGGGGTACTCATGTTTAGACTACATGACTACATCTCTCCTTCAGACTTCCAACTGAACACATTATTGTCAAAGAGAAAAAAGGATGGAACTAGCATGCACACACCATTCTCTATTCAGAGTGAAGCCCCATATGCATTAAGTTGAATGCCTGAAAAAGGAATCTAATATGATTAAAAAAACACAGAACTAGTAGAGACTAGTAGAGACTAGATAAAGTGGCAAGAAAAGAAAAAATGATGCTACCCAATTGTTTACATGAACGTCTCTATTTTCTCCCATGTAAGTGATTCTTATTCACTGCAGTGAAGAAAAGTAATGTAGTGGGGAAAGCTGTTCATGAGCTGTTTAATGCCAAAACCAATTGGCAAAAGTTCTATGGGTAAAATAATGTTCTTTCTCTTCTTTCTATAGGAAATTTAATTGATGAAGGAAAGGACATACTATGTTTCCAGAGTTTCCTCCCAGATTAGCCAAGAATAGATATGAAAGAATAGAGGCAAATATTTGATTAAAATACTAACTCCAATATTCTTATGAAGGCACCCTTTTCCAGCTTAATGCTCTGCTAATGGGTTGGAATTAAAAGTACCAATTGCACCCTCCCATGCTGTTTAGGAATACTGAAATTTGTACTTCCAGATTAGCTGGAGAGCACCAGGTTGGGGAGCACTGCTTTGCTACAATGGAACATCTGATAAGTTTCAATCAAAGCCTGCTTTCAATTTAGTAGCTCAGGCCACTTTTCATGAAGCTTATAGAACATTTCAAAGTACTTTGTTCTGGAAATTCTTGATCAAGGAAAAGCAACTTTTCAGAAAGCAGAAACAGGATGGATTTATGTCATCACAGTATTTCATGTTATGCCTAAATTAAGTTCTGAAACTAAATTAAGCTGCCCTTCAAAGGCCATAGACAGCAGTCCATTTCTATCCATTAGTTTGGCTAATGCCTTCATACATTCATGAAGAAAGTCATTATCATCAATCTTCCAGTTATACCAACCAGCTGAATAACTATTTATGCATGTACCCAGGAAATACTGGGTGGCTTCTCATTGCCTATACAATTCTAGAAAGAGCCAGTAAACAACTAGCCCCATTCAAAACGTATGAAGATGATGATTTAAGTACTCGCCTAAGCAAAAAGTGCTAAATTGATGCTTTATTTACATCTCTAGTTCAGATGTAGCATATAATTTTGGCATTCTTGAGCTCTTACAGTACTAAAACTGTACTGCTATGTTGCACTTGGCAGTGTTAAAAATATGTTCCATGTATGCTTTTTAAATGCAATTTAGCAATTAAACTTTAAAACAAATCTGTATATATATATTCACCACACTTTAATATATGGTTTATTAATTTTACTACACATTTTTTGGCATACAGTTCTTATATTTGCTGCCTGTTAAAGAATGATTGGATAACAAAGTACTTCAGAGTCAAGTCCCATAGATTTCAATTAGGATTACTCCAGGGCAGGCATATATAGGATTGCAGTCATATTCTATTTTACATATGACTTAAAACACATGACGTTTTCTAAAGTAAACTGCCTACAGCTAGCAGAGATGCACGGTGGGAATTTAGCCACTTTGGGCGGAAGACAATGGACTCATTTAATTATCCACATATTCCTGTAGAAACCCTGTTGGTAATAAAAGACTCAGATGAAAAAACAGTGAATTCATTAATTAACTACCATATTTGCTGAAAAATGTGCACTAAATAATGCAGCATAGAAATAGTGGTTCTTCTAGATGCTTGTCTGCAGAATATGCATGTGTGTGCGAGAGAGACAGAGAGAAAAAAGCAATGCCTATGCAGCTTCTAATTATTCCAATTATCATGGCACACTATGAAAACTTGATTAATAACACTGAAGATATTGTTGTGGCAATTAGCCATATGGTTGTGGGACTTTATTCTGTCACGATTTAGCCATTAGCATCTACTTATGTTTGTCAGAACAGTGCATCCGTGACAAGTTGAAGTTCCGCTCACCTTGTCGATTCCCCCGTGAGCCACACTAGAGAACTGTTTATTCCTGGGAGCCCTTTGCCAGAGTAAATTTTTCATGTGGCATCCGGTCTGACTGGGGACAAATGTCAAGTAGCTAATGCAGCAACCGATCAAGCCCTGCTCTCTATGCAAAGATACTTGGTAAATTGCTTGTCAAAACAGACTTATTTCAAAAAAGATTTGACCAAGGAAATTAATGTCAAGTGACTTGTACTGAATGTTTTGAGTGTTAGTAATTCAAACAATATGCACCTTCCATTATTTAGACATGTTCTATCATGATTTGTACAACTGCATGCGTTACAGTTACATGTGAAATGTATACTTTACAAGCCCTGGGATTGTGGGTTATTATCACTGTCAGTTTGGGTCCAGCACAATTTTGAAGATGTAATCCTTTTTTAATGGGAGTCAATTACATCTATCTCCCCCCCCCCGTGTGTGTGTGTGAGAGAGAGAGAGGGGGAGAGAGAGAGAGAGAGAGAGAGAGAGAGAGAGAAGAGAAGAGAATGTCTCTTCCAATTGGTTGGACTGACAGCTGACCTACATGAACATTAGATAACTCAGAGAAGTATTTTATATTGCTACACTATAAAAATCCCACTGGGACAAAAATCTCAGAAGGGTCATACAAGTAAGTTTTTGAAGAAAGCATGGGAAAATATGGCTTATAAAGGGATTGTTTCTTTGTTGGAAACTTAGGAATGCAAATGGTTTACTATAGACATTTTAGATAACCTGTATCTAACTTTCTGTAGCAAGTAACAGAAGAACTGTCTTATTATATTGGTTGGGAAAAATTCGAAATTAGAAGCAATGTTTTCATTTTATTATTTTGCATTTACATCCCATGCTTCCTCTTATGATAACATACGTCACAGCAAGCTCTATGTTCAAGCAGGTACCTGAATCTGGATCTCCAACGACCCAGTCTAGCACCTTAACCATTGCATCATACTGGTTCTCTTTAATCAACTTCAATGGTTTCTATGTATGCATATGTGTATTCACCTATTTTAGTGTAGTTCTGTACCACCATACTCCACAAGGAATGTAGAAGCTTAGGGCAACCTACACAGAGCCCACAACACAGATATTATACATGAACAGCAGTTCTTATCCATTAAAATGAGGGCTGTTACATCTTGTACAATTACAGCTTTCAAGTAGTATTCAAAGGCAGTCCCATACAGAACATATTGCAGTAATCTAGCCTGGAAGTAACAAGGGCATGGGAAACTGTTGCCAGGGTAATAATTGTGGTCCAGGAAGGGTTGTAACTGGCAGACTAACCAAACCTGAGCAAAGGCCCCCTTAGATACAGGCTCCGATATTGCCTATTTAGCATTAGCCATGAATCTATACATAACCAAGTCATGGTTCTGCTCATTCAGGAGAAATGCTACCCCATCTAGAATCAGGACAGGAGTGATGACAAACATTTCTGGAAAAACAGCAACTCAGTCTCGTTGGAATTCATCTTCAACCTGTTTTTCTTACAGCTTCCCATTGGCAGTTGGGCTATCTCAGTGGCTTTATATAAATGTTGAATAGCTTGGGAGAGAAAGAAGGATCCTGCAGTGGCATATTGGGTACACCTCTCCCCCCTCCCACCAACCATAACTGCTTACTTACGATTATTCTCAATCTTTGCAGGAAGCCCCAAAAGAAACTGTAATCAATGGAAGTGAATGCATTGATAGATCTAAAAGCATGAAGATACTCTCTCCATCCAAGACCTGATGCAGGTCATCCAACAGTGGAACCAATGTGGTTTCTGTCCCATACCCAGGTCCCAGTCCCAGACTGAAAAGGATGCAGAAAATTAGTTTGGGCAGAGTTACACTGCCTCTCTTTCTTACGCTTCCCTCTCTATTGGACTGAGATGTCTTTTTTTCAACAGTTCTGTTTTCTCATCCATGTTCCAGGTCCTGCTATACATTTCATCACAAATATTTAATAAAACTATCTTCTAATTAAGTCAATTAAAATTACTATATGTTGACAATCTTTGGGCTTTGCTTGTAGCCCTGGGTTTGGGCTATACACACCTTCAGTAAGTGAGGGTAAATACAGATAGTCCAGGCATAATGACAGTTTAATGAAGGTCCAGAGTTACAATGGCCTTGGGAAAAGTGCTTTCTGACCCCTATGGTCACGTGATCGTGATTCACGACCTTTTTTACGATGGTTATTAAGTGAATCACTTGGTTGTTAAGTGAATTCTGATAAAAAAGTCCGTTGGGGAAGCTGG